GGAGATTGTTAGTGGTGATCTCATCAGCTCGGCCCAACGATCGAGTTGGGCCTTGACCTCATGCTCTGATCGAGGTGCCCAACCCTACATGATTGGTGGCCCCGTCACACCGCGCTATATAGAGTGGTGGGGGCCGGCGGCTCTCTTAACGAGGTTGACCGAGCTATATTTCCCACCGATAAAACCCTAACACCGATCTAGAGGGGGTGCGCAGCCAATGACGGGAAGCCACCACCGTCTTCTCCGCCGGGACACCGCGCCATTGCTGGACCGCACCACCAGACTCCACGACAACACCGACATTGCCATGGACGGCTCCAGCTCTTTCGCCAAGCCCTCCGACGGTCGGTGATTTGTCACCTCTCACCCTCTACTCTCTGTTACTCTATTTCTTCATGTACTAGGATGAACTACATCTTTTATCACAAATAGAAGAGATTGTACCCGCTAGATCTATACCTAGTTGATCCTACAATATCTATCATTGATTGCTAGTTTTGATCGACGATGTGGCTATCCCCATTGTTTCCCTTTGATTTTGGCTGCAAATTAAGAGATAGAAAGCACCACTCCATTCTCCAACGGTTTATACTTCTCCGAATTCTTTCCTGGACGTAACGCGTTCAAGGTTTGCTAGCTAGCAATGTTCTGATTAGAGTTTCTTTGTAAGGAAAATGATCATCTTCTGATTACAAAATGGAATGGAGGATTTCCTGGGTACCCGAGGTCGTGGGTTACTAGAGCAGACAAAGTTAATACAGCTTCAGAGTTAATATGTGGATTAGCTAGACTACATTATGTACGGGGGGTTTTGGAGTTTAGTAACACATGGAATTTATCAGCATGCAGGTTTTCATTTTCGGGGATTTTTAACGTTATGTGTTGGCATGCATCATCATAATCATAACGCAAATATGGGACCTTGGGGTTGGGTATCATCGTCGAATTTGTTCTGTACATGTATCAGCATCAAAATTAATTACACAATGCAAATGAAACGGAACGATTCGAAACTGATCAAGCCCAGATACCACGACGTTGTTTATTAATGGTGATGATGATGATTCTGATTTGAACATCGATGTTTATGTGGCCCATTGGGCCTCGTATACTACCAGCTTAGCTAAAAGATGAGCCGAGCTACTCTAAAAGTCTGAATCTAGTCCATATGCTGTATTTGGCTATTCTCCCTTCTTTAGTTACGTGTAAGAGGCAGACCATCAAAGAACATCGAATTCACAAAAAAAATCAAATTCGCCCCATGCTTTCTTGTATCTAAGCCCAATGGTACTATGCACACTAGGTAGGTCTAGACACTCAGCTGATTTGGTGAGATTTGCTCCCAAAAAAAGCTGATTTGGTGAGACCAGCTTGATTAAATTTATTAAGAAGAATTGTAGTTTTGACAAAATGTTAATCGAATTTGCTTGAAAAATCTCAAATCTAACCAAAATCAGTTTCGAATAAATCGGTTCTATTGGGCCTCAAATACTACCAGCTGAAATATGATGAGCCGAGCTCATGTGACGAAGCTGAGTTAGTGGGCCTAGAGTTCCAACAAGTCAGACACGATCCTTCCCGAACGAGCCATTGGGCGTCGTCGGGTCCATGGATAACGTCATTTTTTTAGAAACCGGGAAAATATATTACATAAATTTTTAATGTTTACATCAAATCTTACAAAGACCCTCTCGAGAAAAATGAAACTACAACCCAATCCTTGCAAGATCATGGTCCTCCCGGTTGACCTCGTCGTCGGTGATCGGAGCAATCTGCAACTTGAAGTCGATCCCCTTCCGAATGAAAGCTCTTCACAATTTTTTGATGCCACTATGAGTCGCATATCGAGTGCATCGACATGCTGTAAGCTCGTTGAACGTCCTAGCTAAAGAATATGGCCGTCGGGCATAACATCGCCGGTAAAACAAGGAATCTAGCGCCTCAAAGGCCACCAGCAACCCTGACTCACCGGAGAAAGATACAACCCCAAGGGAAGCAAAATCACCACAGAAGGTGGGATCCAAACCCAACCCGGTTTCTTTACGAGTTGGTAGACATGCCTTCCAAAATTTCTCCATATATCCATTGTTGTATTCTAGATTACAAGTCCATCACTATCGTTGGCACCATGGGCACCAAGAAAATCACAGGGAAACCGAACACCAACACAGAAGATAAAATCGATGACATACCCATCGATGTTGAGACCCTCGTAAAAGATATCACCATCAATCACCACACGCACCTCAGAGAGCACCAGGAGGCAATAGTAGAGAAACTCTGAAAGGGAAAAAACTTACCGACAGCATCTTCACCGGTAAGAAATCCAACCTTATTCTATGTAAAACTACTCTATTAGAAGTGGATGCTTACATCACCCGTCAAAAAGGCCACCACTGACGAGGAGAAGCCGGGAGTTGAGAAATCGTCGGCTCGTCGCCTCTCTCTAATGTTAAACGGACGCTTCGAGAGTATGTTCTCCATGGATAACGTCATAACGATCGCTGAACTGGTTCGGGCCGACCAACCTCACTTTAGACTTTCGGTTCGAAGATCCCCACCGGCTAGCGCGAGTTCCGCTCGTCCCATCGATTTTTTTGTTTTAGCCTTTTTTGAAAAAAATCACAAATATGCGCCTAGAGTAAGATTTCAAAATATGGACCCTTAGCTCGACGCCATTGTTGCTGGCGCTGAGCTTACAAGTCGAGCTCTTGGGCTCAAAGCAGACAAGACGGTGATTTGTCAGGCACCTCGCGCCAGTAACCCCGACGCCGAGCTCGGCGCCAGGGTTACTGGCGCCAAGCTTGTCTTATGTATGGGCCCCAATTCTTTCTCTCTTCCTCTCCCCTCTCTCTCTCGCGCACCTCCCTCGCCTCGCCGAGAAGCGCACCGTCGCCACCGCCGCGCCGCTCCCCCGCCCCCCCGCCGCGTGCCATCTGCCTTCGCTGTCCCACCCGCGACCGCTCTGGTCCCCTCGCCGCGCCTACTGACGTGCCGGCCGCTCCCACAGCCGCCTTGGCCACGCCCCGCCACGCGCCGGCCGCCGCCGTGTCCATGGTGGCCGCAGCCGCCGCGCCTGCTCGCCTCCGTCATTGTGTGCCACCACCACCCGGGCCACGGCCGAGCCCACCACGCGCCATCGTCGTCCTCGGTCGTGCCCCACCGCCCGCTTTTCGCTTTCTGCCCGCCGGCACGTACACCCACCGGCTCGCTTCGTCGGCCTAACCCCACGCCCGGCGTCCGCTCGTTGAAATTATGAATGATTCGGAGCCATATGAGATAGAAATGGCTCTTGATTCTGATGATGATCGCCCTATTGGAGAGCGGACAGAGAGTGATGTTGAGATGCTGAGACATATATTTTCCGGCCGCCGTGATCCAAGAGTTCATGAAAAGGAGGTACCTAGGGTCAAACTTGTCTACACCGTCGATCCACTTAAAGAAAAAAAAACACCTCTCATAGTCCTACACAACAAGATTCCAACAAAATATTAGTACCATACTTACACAAATAAAGAAAAAAATATAGTGGAAACAATTACTTATATTAAAACGATTGCATGTGTAGAAGCAACGTGCCGCTATGTCTGGATGTCTCGATTGAAACACGTGGGCCGGAAAACCACAGTCACAAATAGGGACATGGAGGTCAGGAGGGACGGGAGCATCTTTGCTAGATGTGTCGAGGTATAATTCTCGAGGACGATCTTGTTTTCGCCAAAACTCTTCCCGATATATTTCTTGCATCTAACAAAATGGATGTAATTTAACAAACAAAAATCAAAACATCACAAATTAATATCAATGAGAACCATAACTACAATACAACCAATTTCGTTCTAAGAACCGAAAGCAATTAACATTAAACTCTAAACCTAGGGTTTCCCATTTGATGCACAATAATGAACCCATAACATAACTACATGCGTTGCGGTTACCTAGGTTTGCTAGCTTTTTCACGCCTTGGCATCATCCTACGATTGTATAATACAAATATTGAGGGATAGAATAAAACCTTAAGTAATGATGGTTCTTAGGTTAAAAAATCCAACTAATATATACCGAATCGATGCGAAAAAAATTAGGAGGGAAGTAAGGATACCTTGCTTTGGAAGATCTACGGATCAAATCAAAGTTTTCAATGTCCAATATGACGATTCGTGAGGTAGGGCAAAGTGAGGAGAGAAAAAACTCGATATGGAGGAGAAAGAAGAGGAAGAAGGCTCGGACAAGAAGGTTGTGGCGGGGTTAAAACACCACATCGGCGTCAGGATCTACGGCGCTAAGTTTGGCGCCAGGATCTATGGCGCCGAACTGGCTGCCAAGTCACCGCCACGTCTGCGTCGAGCCTAAGACATCGGCGCCAGCAACGATGGCGCCAAGCAGTGTAAGCTCAACACCAACAACTATGGCGCCGGGCTAAGGGTCCAAATTTTAAAATCTTACCGCCAGAAGCATATTTGTGAAATTAAAAAAATGCTAAAAAATAAAAAATTCGGCCCGTCCCACTCGAGCCAGCCCACGGCCACCCGGGCATGACCCGAAGGGCCAAAGCCCAAGCCGATCGCTCTTTCCCCAACGGACGGACGCGCTTCCCCGATGACGCCGTGACGACTCGTCGTCACCCCATCCGAAACCAGTCCGACGAGGCATCCGCGTCATGCGTGGTCCCCGCAGTCCAACCGATACGCTGACCGCCGCGTGGAGGACGGCTCCCGAACAGGGAGACACGCTGACAGGTAGGGACAAAACGTCAGTGGCGGGTCTCGAGGGGCAACTTGGTCACTCCCCTTCCCCGCCAGGGTTGACGTCGTCGTCTCTCTCTCGCCGTCCCCGTCCCCGTCCCGTCCCTTGCGTACTCCGCCACCAACCGCTTTTGCTTGCTGCTACTCGCCGCCAGCCAAAAGCAGCCGTCCCCCCAGCTCGCCCGCCCGAAGCGACGCCTCACCCGCATCCCGCCCCGCGAGAAGGTTCTAGAAGGGGGAGACCCCGGTGGAGCCATGGCGGAGGAGAAGGAGTCGACGTCGATCCCGCTCAGCCAGGCGGCGGATGCCGTCGACCCCGAGGACCCGGCCAAGTCGCCGCCGCGACCCAGCTCGCCCACCACCTCCACACGCAAGGTCCGGATCTAGCCTCCACGCTCCTTCGTTCGCCTCCTGAGTTGCGGCGGCATTGGGCTAGTAGCGTGCCTGTGCTGCCCTTTTAGGTTGTTGCTGACCGTTCGACGAGTAGATTCGTGCTTCCCAGTGGTCGGATCTTTTCGGGCTTACGGGATGATTGTCAATTCGATGCGAGCCTCGAATTCGTTGATTTTGCTGTGGGCAGGTTTAGATTTAGGAATTTTGCTTTAGTTTGATCGAACTACTTAGCTGACATTAGTGCGAACGGGACGTTATTGTTATCAGCAGGGATATTCCTTTGGGATGGATTGCATGTTTTCTAGAGTCCACCTGTAGTCTGAAGATTATTGTTGTCGCGTGGTTGCTGCATAGTTATGTATTGCTGTGTGATTGTATGCTCCTTATGTGTTACTGAGCTTGAGTTGGTGTAATTGCTGTGGTATTGTCGCACAGTCTTTTACTCTAGCCCAAAAATTTTAAATACAGGATAGTTCGTGAAATTATGTATTGTTTTACTTTTTACTCTATTATTAATTATTATATGAGGTGGTATAACATGATCCAGTTTGAAATTTATAATGACCGTATATAGAGAAATGTGGATGTTGTAGAAATGAATTATGTTTTCCATGTTCCTTTAAAAAAAAAAAAATTGCTCGTTCGCTCCAAGAAGCACAATTGTAATGATCTGAGGTTAAACATTAATGTATCTGGGTCAAATCAGTCCTTTGGTTCCAACTCAGCACCCAAAGGTGTGTTTGCACTATGTGCCTGCCCTTGGAAAGAAATCTGTCATGCATGAATGAGAAAAATGTACAGTTCTTCATCTCTGGAGGCCAAACTTATTTTTTTTACTTTGCTTATGTTTTTTTTTTTTGCCATTGTGTCTTGCTATTTGCGTTGTCAGTTGGACTATGACAACACACATGTTGGACCTCTGCATCTCCAGAACATATTGAATGAATCTTAACTATTTTGCAAACGTAACTTTACTATACGCAGACTGAGTAAAAAATATTGTTCATGGCTAACCTGGTATATTTTGTGCAGGCATGCTGTGCTGTTCTTCAAAGTTGGGTCTCAAGAAAATTTATGACTGGATGGTACGCCCTTCACAAGAATTGAACTAAACATGTTGCCATATCTATGGACTATGGATCACCTTTATTTATGCATGATATATTTCTTGTGTTTTATGTATGCAGTGTAGTGCTTTTCCCTGTTGCAGTCACGTTCTTCATCACATGGTGGTTTATTCAATTTGTTGATGGTTTTTTCAGTCCCCTATATGCAAAACTTGGAGTCGACATATTTGGTAATCCTTGTACAAATACTCCAAACTTGCAGTATATGGTGATTGTAAACTAAGGAAAGCCTATATTTTTATCTCCTATTGTATCCTTGAGGGTATTTTGTTGACATGTCACCCATATAGTGGTGCCATGAATGTGATCACCCATAATCCTAAGAAATATTAGCCCTTCAACAGAGTTAGCGGAACAGTTTGCACTATGTTTTGGTAGTATGTGGACCCCACATATGATGCTGAGAATAGTATTGAAACTTCAAACTTTGGCTCTTTGGAAAATTTGGTGGAATACAATCTTGTCTTAAGATCCTCTTCTATTTTATATAAATAATTTGATGAAACTTCATCTATTCTTGCTACGGTGCCCAGAAAAACACCCATTGTCTGAAATGCTTATTTATTTTCACAAATGCTTATTTATCTTCATGATCGATTGCAGGTCTTGGTTTTTTGACTTCTCTGGTGTTCATATTTCTGGTTGGAATATTTGTTTCTTCATGGGTTGGTTCAACCATCTTCTGGGTGGGAGAGTGGTTTATAAAGAAAATGCCATTTGTAAGGCATATATATTCAGCATCAAAGCAAGTTAGCACTGCAATTTCACCAGGTTAGGCAGCTTCTATTGCATGTGATTCTGTTTTTTATAAGTATATATTTAAAGATATTTTGCACAAGAAGATTTCTTATGTAATTATTTTGTTGACAGATCAAAATACAACAGCTTTCAAAGAAGTTGCAATAATTCGTCATCCACGAATTGGTGAATATGCATTTGGATTCATAACGTCAACGGTGGTCCTTCAGGTACTCGATCTTCTATATTTAGAAAAGTTGCTGAAGCAAAATTCATATTCTATTTATAGAAAAGTTGCTGAAGCAAAATTCATATTTCTAGTGACCGTATGATGCTTTATAAAGAAAATGAACTGCTACATGCTATTAGTTTTTGATTTTTCATGTCATACATGCATGCTCCCCTTTGATGTGGATGTACTTTTCTTATTGCAGACTGACAAAGGCGATGAAGAACTGTGTAGTGTGTATGTGCCAACAAATCATCTATACATTGGTGACATATTTCTGGTGAACTCTGAGGAGATCATAAGACCTAATTTATCCATTCGAGAAGGAATTGGTATGGTAGTTTGGTTCCTATGATGCCTATCCTATGCCATGTGGCAACTTTCCTTGGAATTGTTGTTACCTATTTTCCCCATCTAGTCAATTTTGCATTACAAATACAAATCCTTTGAATTATTGCTTGCTATGATTGATAAACCAATATATTATTCATTCTTTTGGTTCCTGCAGAAATAATTGTTTCAGGAGGAATGACCATGCCTCAGGTGATTACATCACTGGAGCCTATGCCGCGGAAAAGCCAGAACATTCGTCTAAATAGAATGATGTGATGTAACACAAGTCACATATGCAACAAGGTAAAATTTTCCAACCTATATAACCCCAGCTGGTGTGTTTGGCTGTTTACTGATATTGGGCTGTGCATCAAGCAGATAGCATGATCTGTGGGGCCCGATTCAGGTGCCTTGGCCGTATGCTTACCATGTGATTTGGATAGAGGAGCAACTCTGCTGAGCCATCGTGGCATTCCAAGTGCAGGGGAAGCATCGTGTTGATGCTCTGGGATACTATTGTCTCACTCTTGTTGCGCTACTCTTTGTGCTCCTGACTAGTACTTCTCCAAAATGTTAACATCTACGCGTGAGGTGTGTGAGTGATTAAATTCGTTTACAACTGTGCGCTGTATAACATCTTACTTACAAATAGAGCACACAACTCTGACCAGATTTCTTCTTTCAGATTAACATTCCTGTTTGTTGATTTGTTTTTTTTTTCGTGTGACGTGTCTAACTGGCTATGAATCAGCTTTAGGCAGAAATCCATTGCTATTAATCTACTCCCTCCATTCCAAATTATAAAATGTTTAGGCTTTTCTATATTCATAGTTTTTGTTATGCATTTATATATACACTATCTTGATACATAGTGAAATGAAAGTATCTATAAAAATCAAAATATCTTATAATTTGGAATGGATGGAGAACTTAAGTAGCACAGGATGAATTCGTTTTGTCTTGAGTATCTTTTTGTTAAATGAGGTTGTTAAGCAGCTGGATGCATAAGTGATACTTTTAGTGAGCTTATATGATACAAATATATACTTCGTGATGGAAACGGGTAAGGCGCACGCGTGCATTTGCGCCCAATTGGATCAACGCCGTAGCAGCTCCAACAATGTTATTTGAGTTAGCGCATAGAATATTTTATTGAGTATAAAGAGAGAGAATAATAAGCTAACTCTCCATGAAGAGCTAAGATCACATATTTTCCTATGATATGTGTCTGGTTGCATATTTTTCTATACTATAGCGTGTTAGGTTACCCTTTTTTTTAAAAAAATCATGAGTTAGTAAGTTGACTCTATTGTTGAGGGTACCCTAAGAGAATAATTGCGTGTCCCACCGTCGTGTATTCATTATATATCGTTCGTGAGAGTGGAAGAAGGAATTTATGTTTTTTTGGCGAACATGCCTTAGCGCGTGCTGTTCTTCTAGCCTGCCCTAGTTCTCATCTCCTCCTAAATCTGTTGTTAACAGAAGGACCTTTTGAAATGATGGATTTCCTCTAAATTCTGCATTTTTTATAAAAATGAATTAATTCTTATGAAATACATGTACGATTTGTGTAAATTTCGTGTGTTCTCAAGGGGCCCTTAAAGTAGAGACAAATCAAATAGAGAGAATGAATTTTTATATTGATTCACAAACACTGTTGCACATGTCCATGCTGAGGAGGGGGGGGATGATGAGAGAGAGACGAAGGGAGAGAATATAAGCTTTTTAACATAGACGTCAAGTAAAAGGTGACGACGGGCAAATATGGAAGCCCGTCATCTTTTTTTTGGCGCGGATGGAAGCCTGTCATCGTTTCTCAAGTAAAACGTGAACATAACTAAGCATCGGCATCATCCCCGTGAGAAGTTGCTGATGATTCTAACAACAACCGTTACTTTTCCGTAGTCATAACTCATAAGTGGCGGACCTTACCTGGACCATGACCAAAGAACATGTGCCGCTATCACTGTTGTTTGAGGTTTTCGTATAGTGTTGCTAAGCCAAGCGACAAGGTTCAACAGGATAGGCGAGCATAAAATTACACTCACCATACAACAACTATCCAAGTAGATGCATGTTAGTCAACGTCTTGTGATTTGTTCAATTTAATGTGGTAACTATCTAAGTGGTGCATGTTGGTCCAACATCTTTAGTCTCTTTAATTAGATATGAGAACTTGGCTTATTGATATATACAGGGTCCAAACAGATGTACCTGATGTCACTAGGAGCTACTACATCATAGCGTCAGCTCATCCAACGCTTAGCTGGGATAATGACTCATTTGTGGTGGGAGGTGAAAATTGGTTCTATTGAACATTCTATGTTTTCACTTTGCAACTTATAACACGCTTTTCAACTCACTCCCCTACGATAAAAATACAACATATAAGTATTTCTCTCTCGCATAGTCAACAATAATATACAAATATAAGCCATATACAACCGTGTTAGCTTAATCAATATGTATCTAAATTATAATTATTAAAATGAATTCAATTTCAAGGATCAAAACAGGGCCTTAGAGAAAGCGCCTAGTTCAAGGGCTTAGCCCAGGATGATGGCCCAAAAAGGCATTGGTGGAGTTGATCTCATAGTCCTTTTATGCCTTCTGAGACAATGCAGATGGCGTCTCAGCCTCATCTCAAGATTCGATCACTGAGGTCCAGGTAATCCTAGCCCACGATGCACCTCAGAAAGACTAATAATTTAATACTTGAGTAGTAGAGTTTTGAACAGCATATATGGTAGTATAAGAAAGCTTGACAGCCAATTCAGTGGTCCAAAGCTCATGCCCTTTACAACAGATATAGATTTTCGACTAATTTTACAACCTTAAGCCTCCAGATCATGTAAAGACCAAAATCCCCACGAGACAATTCACACAGACTCCATGAGGGTAGAAGCATTTTCTAGTCAACTTGTATGTATTCTGGTGGTTCAACCCCACAAGGAAAGTCTCAACTCTTCAGATGTTACTACAAAGCTTGCCCCCTTCATTAATCAATGGCAATTATGAGGAAACCAACTGAGATATACATGAGGAAGACAGGATATAGGGCCAGAGCTTTTCTCCTTGGGTTAACAGCAGCACTCATGAATGGATAGGCAGCCCAGGAGCTCCATGTCAATGTGATTGTTACCACAACAATCTTAAGTATGACATTGTCCTTCAGCATGCAAACTAGAGCACCAACATCCAGTGGAAACAGGCAATAGCCAAGAAGACTCAGGCTTTGGAAGAAGATGATGTGTCCACCCTGAAAAGTGATCGAACAAATAATTGTAGAACTTCTTGGAAGGCACTTTGATTAGCACAGAGGCAATTGATCTCCAACAGTCATGTGCATGTGACCGTGTTTTAGTGTAGAAGAAAAAGGTCTTACCAGAAGCAGAACATTCAAGGTCAGAATTATAGCCCCAGCTGCCAGGACAGCGAATGCAACAGCAAATACTTCAGACTACAAGGACAAACAAAACAGGATCATTACTTTTCACATTAGGAGATATAAAATTCAAATATTCTATTAATGATTGATTTGATAGTGCGCAACAGAAACACACATTGTGTGTGTTTGAAGTAATAAAGTAAAAGGTAACGTGTTAACTGAGAGATTGAAACACAAGCTTATGTACTTTATATATAGTCATCATTGGGCCTCAATGTAATCATCAAATTCAGTCTCCCTTATTTGTAACAATTTTCTCCCTGCATGTTTTCTTCGATAGGATGTGCCGGATGTGATCAACCAGAGCCTCGGTGCCATGTCTTATATTTGAACAAGTACAAGAAGCAACAAAAGAAAATGGTACTTTTGGAATATTTCTGTTCATTAAGGATACCTTGTTCTATAAGAATGAGGAGGAAATACCTACCAAGTATCTAACAAGCTATACTACCAACACAACTATTTTTGAGTAAACAGTATAAAATACTCTTATGCAAGCAAGAGAATACGAATAAATTTGGTTTCTTCCAGGCGACCATAAAATTGTATACATAATAAGGGGGGAACACTACTAACATAAAAAGAACAATCGTATATGTAACTATATAAGAACCAGTGAAGCCTTTCATGTAATGGCCAAGATTGTAGTTTATGCATGAAATGGTTCTTTAGGAAATTTGTTGCCATTGCTCATTACTAACTTATGCAGATTCATCAAACAAGTTCCAGCCTCTGTTTTTTTTTTTTTTTTTAGGTATGAAGGCATAGTTTGGTTAGAAACTGGGACAAGGAAATAAACAAAACATTTTTGTCAGTAATTACAACTAAAGAGTACAGAGAGAGGATCATATGAAGCTTGAACACTAGAGAACACAATTAATCTTAACCATTGTAATGTGATACTTCCCAGTTCCCTATCATTTTGGAACTAACAGCATGACACATTCTGAAAACTCACCACGAGCAGAATAAATGACATCAGATTGACACTTAACTTGCATGGGTGCAAGGAAGAAACTGATTATTAGTATAAGAAACTAATTAAGAGGGTAGAGGCATGAGAAGTGATTCACATGCAGCATTCAGCATGCATCCACTTACAACAAAAGCATGATAAGTATTCTCCTTGCTTTGAACTATACAAATCAGAAGACAAGGTTAATAGAATACAGCACTATGGGTTATTGCTCTCAACCCATCCCCACGGGCCACGAGTATTATATGTTCTTAAGACATCATAACTATCACCACAATGGAATCATTGACCTTGTAAATGGTAATTGTCCACCCCTAAGATAACTTCACATGCTGTCATATACCTAGTTTAATTAATGTACAGTCCAACCTGATTTCCGGCATATTTGAGGAAAATGAGAACTATGAACTAGTGTCATACCATGAACCCTTCAGAACAGATACTACCAACGCAATAACTAGATCCATACAAAAGAGAGCACCAGATCTAGTTGCAGGAGGAAGTGGGTACCTTCTTAACGGAAGCTGACCAGGAGAGCGTGAGGCCAAGGAAGACGATGAAGAAGAAGGGACCCCACAGGTCCCAGTCCCTGAGCGCCTTGCCGGGGTCCTCGCGGTAGGGATTGGGGAAGACGACGAGCTTGAGATTACTGACGATGCGTGCTAAGTCTCGCTTGACGGTGTCCCATACCGGCTCTGTGAGCGTGTTGGGCGGAGGCCCAAACCCGTCAGCGCCGATGGGGACGGAGACGGACGCGGGCACGGGCACGGGGGAGACGGAGACGGAGATCGGGATGGAGGCGGCGGGGAGAGGCGGCTTCGTGGTGACGGGCACCGGCGCCGGCGAGGAGGATACGGGGATGGAGGCCCGCGTCGGAGACGGTGGCCGCGCGGGGAGCACGGTGGCAGGGGATGGCGCGGCGTGGATGAGGCTCTCGATCTCGTCCATGTCGGACTGCGCCGATGAGGGGTGGAGCGGGATCGTGTCGCCGTGGTTGTGCGACATGGCGGCGGGCGTGCGGAAAGCGCGCGAGCGCGCCGGCGAGGGGAGGCGGATCTGAGGGGGCAGTGGGAGATCTCGCGGGAGGGTTGGGGGAGATGGTGCGGGTTTGCGAATTGCGGGTGCGTGCCGACCTGCCTGCGGCGTGGGCGTGGAGTTGCAGGGATATTTAACTTTTATCATCCTCAGTTAGCAGCTTTAGGTTAGACGCTACGATTTTAACAGAAGAGAGAAAAACTATACATATTTATTATTTTTACTCACGTGACACGCTAGTTCCACTGTCCAGCTCGGATCCAAGTCAGTAGGCTCAGGTAAAAAGACCTCCCCTACCCTAGCGTCTTTATCCTCTCCCGTGCGGCCCGGTCCACACCACTCTCCCTCCTCCTCGTCTTTCTCTGCTCCGTGCAACGCTCGTCCGTCACCGTCGCCGCCGCCGCCGCCCTGTCCCCCACCTAGAGCTATGTCCCAGTACGCAGAGTCATCTAGAGCTGGACGAGCAAGGAGTAGGCTCCAAGGTGGCCGGAGCTCCCGCATTGCTTTCATCGGTTTAGATCCAGTTGGTGAGCTGAGCGGCTTCCCGCTGATCCCCTGCCCGGACTGCGGCCTTGCTCGGCTGGTGGAGGGGAGGATGAAGAAAGACGGCGAAAACCACGGCCGTCTATACTTCAAGTGTGCGAGGAATGAGGTGAGTTCCCATATACTTTGTTCCCCCTCATTATTTTTAGGGTTCTAAATCTTGTTGATGCTAGCAGTTTCTCAAACTTTGTGGGTACTATCGATTTGAGAAGCAGTATTTTCAGTAGTTGAAGGATGATGGCATCATCCAGGTTCGGCCCTCGAACTGGGCAGAGTTGCTGGAACAGGAAGAAGTTTCAGTTGATAGTCCAAATGTTGACAAGAATGGCCAAGATTTAGAGAAGAAGATGGAGTCATTGATCTAGAAGATGAACATGTCCGTTCTGTGCGTTGTATGTGTTGCATTAGGATTTATGCTGATATATGGTGTAATGAAGTGACAATGTATGGATGAATGAAAATACAAAATGTGCTTGAATGGAAATGAATTTTCTGGTTGAATGTGTCTGTGTTGATTACCAGATTTTGGGCATATCAAAACATAGCAGCAATACACACAACCATTAATCATAACTCATCATACAAAGTAACCAGCTAGCATGAACTAAATAAGCTCAAACACAATGATCAGATAAAACACATTTATTAGATGACATTAACCAGCAGTACTAAATCTAGTGACATGAAACACACAAAGTTTTGCCACACACATTGTTCTGCCACACACACTGAGCTGGCCACATACATTGTTTTTGGCCACATGTTCTGACCAACAAAAGGCCTTAGTTACACAAAAGAGACAATTTTTTGGTCTTTACAACCAAAATGAATTTGTCCTTGATGGTGCTTTTATTTTTTTCTCTTTTTGTTGGTTGGGCTCTTCCTCACCTTTGTAGCTAGATGCTTCTTCTTTGGAGTCATTTTCTTAGGTGGTGGGTCCATAGATACACTTGCTGTTTTATCTACCTCATTCACAACTTGTAGATCCCAGTAGAGATTCCTGTTGAATGCAAGATATGTTATCAGAATGGCAACAATAAGTTTTGACCAAGCATGTATTTTGAAGTAGGGCATACCTCCTAGTTGCTGCAGTGGTTGAAGGTGGTGCATGCTCAACCTCAATTGGTGCCACATCTAGGACTTCTCTCTCTGCAGCAGCTGCAACTTCAACTGCTGTAGAAGCTTTAGTTGTAGCTTTCAGAGCCTCCCTTGCTGCCTTAGCTGCTGCTTCTTTAGCCACTGTCGCCCTTGTTCTTGTTGTATTTCCTCCACTAGGGGTAGGATATGTCTTGCTCTTCTTCCTTCTAGGTTTAGGGGCTAACTTTTTAGTTCTTTTTCTGCAATGTAGTTGTTAGGGTCAGTGGTTAACAGTTAGAATTATAACTAATAGTAGGGGTAGTACATTATCTTATTTTGGTGCCAGTCAATGAACACCTCCAGCTTCCAGACCTATGGCCATACTCACCACATCCAGGGCATTTTACCTGTCTTGTTGCTTTACCACCTCTTTTAGATGGAGCCAGATGCTTTTTCTTCTTTTGTCTGCCTGGGTCTCTCTTCATATTTGGTGGGAAACAACTTGAAGCCCTTATCCACCTCTGACCATTGTCCTCTATCTGTTATGCTGAGAATGATCCCACGGTATGCAGCCTAGAACTTCTCAACTGAGTAGTAGTTGTGCACATACATGTCCATATTGGGTTGCCTCGGGTGATTGTGATTACAAGGCTTTCCAATCCAATGCATGTGGGCAAGGCTTTCCTCCTCATCTTTGTAGATCTCAATCTTGCCACTTTTTTACAACTTTCGGATGGCCTAGATATGTTGTGTTGGATACACAACATGCTCCTAACCTCCTCATCTTTGTAGATCTCTCAGTGTCTTCTCTAATAGCTTTCTCTGGGTGCCCTTTAGCCACTTTCATGATGGCCTAAAACCCCTTGCCTATAGCGAGGTTGTGATGTTGTTTGAGCCAAGCACACCTGGACTAGCATCTACTACCTTGTCAAAGAAGTACTTGATTGTATATGCTCTAGCAAGAAAGGCCACATGTTCTTGGTGGATAACCTAAAGCACTCCCTCTATTCACTTTGTTAGGAAAAACCTTGGCAACTTACAACTTCAGAATTCTAACAGCTAGAGGGGCCTAGACAGATTGTTCATTAGCTATCTTCCTCCTCTTTCGCAAAAAAGAGTGAGTGTCTTCTCTCTAATAGCATCAATAAGCGGTGAACAATAGATCCTTGTGCTCCTTGATCCAAGCATTCCAACTCTCACCAAATTATTGTTGATGTAGTCACATTTGATGTCTGGACTAAACTTGCTCCTTGCCCATAGCAGGTTGTGATATTGTTTGAGCCAATTGAAGCACATCCTCGACTAGCATCTACTACCTTGTCAAAGAAGTACTTAAACTTGTGTGGTATATATGCTCTAGCATCTCTATTTTGTACTTAACCAAAGCTTGTCATGTTCTTGACATAGACATCTCCCGAGTAGTACTTTTGTCATGTTTTTCATCAAATGCCTAAATTTGCACTCCCTCTATTCACATTTAGGAAAACACCTTATTAAATCAATAACAACTTTAAGGCCCTTATCAAGCATCCAAGGCACCAAGAATAGCTAAACCTTGTCCATGGGGCCTATTGCCTTGCTTACTATGGCATGTTCCATAAACCTATGTTCAATTTTTCTTTGTCTCGAGAGTCAAAAAGTCCAAAGGCAATAGGCCCCATGGACATCCAAAGCTTGTTGCATTTCAAATGCATTGTAGGGATGTTGCATTCCATTCAAGTGTTGTTGAGTCTATACTAATATAGGACCTCATATACTTTGCAACTATTTCTCAAACCATCAATTGCAGCCTTGGTGGTGAACTACATGTATCATTACCAAGCAGAAAAATCTTTTGAACCCTGTCCTCCACAGTCTCACTAGATGCACATGTCTATCTCCAATATACTCGTTCATTCAAAACCACTATCGACCTTATTTCAACCTCCATGCTTGCTGAATCTCTACTAGCCCATACTCTCCATCAACCAACCTTAATTAATCTAAGCGTGAATCATCCCATTTACCAAAACAAAACCAACGAGTTTGAATAAATATCCTACATGGCACAGTTCTATCTACCATTTCAAACTAAAGTCGGGATAATCGTGCCCGATATGGGTATCTCTATTTTTTACTTAACCTAAAAGCTCGCGTCAAACCTAAAACTTTTTAAGACCCATGATGGTAAAAGTTCCTCTTGAGTAAAGGTATTGCCCTCTCGAGGTCACGTTTGGGCAAAGCCTATGATGCCATTGAACACCACTTTTACAAAGGTGTCTCTAGCTCTAGAAGGACAATTGTGAATGCCTTTATTTATTTGATGTCATTAGTCCGTGTAAGTGGCGTCGGTATAAAACTGACATATAGAAGCTAGTTGCAATAAGTAAACATTTCATGAAAACATTCACAAGAATTGATTAATGGTATATAACTTTTTACTGACCAACAACAAAAAAACAAGAAAATATAACCATATAATCTCAACGACACTCCCATCATGTTGTCCTAGCTCTAATATCCAAGGGCACCCAAGAGCAAAGACATGTCTCAAGTTTTCATTGAAGCCATTTGTAGTCCTCTAAAACCTTTTCTTGTCGAATGAAGCCATACATGTTGGCCTTAAATTCAAATTCATCTTACTATACAAAATAGGCATGCTTAGCCTCATCTGACACGCTAGCCAGAAGCTCCAGCCTCCAAATCATCCATACTAGGGTAACAAGTCCCCTACGCGCCCATCTCGACATGTCTTAGAGGGATTATTCTTTTCATCAGGTCCGAGTAGATTAGGTAGCTACCACTCAAACATTGGCTCTAGCTCTTCTACATTGTCATCCACCTTGTTTGCTAAACAACCCAGGTGTTCACTCATATCTTGTTGCATTTAAACAAGGACAATGTCATTGTTCCTCAGGGATAGGTATTCAGTAGAATTCCCTTCCAACTACAGATGCACTTATATTGTCTCATCAACACAGCAACTTTTAAAAGACCCATTGCTTCATCATCTGTTTAAGTTCATCTACAACTACACATTTAACATCACCATCATCATTGGCATCTAAAAGTATGATTTAAGAAACCATTTTCCCAATCCATCACTATTCTACAGAATCTGTAGCTCATAAAATCCAAGTGTATTTCGCAATGAAGTGAGTACATGCAACACATAAAAAGCATAAATGGATTCGTGGCACAGATAACTACATGTATCACCTAATCCAACATCTACACTTCCCTCTTTTCACACATTCTCTTGTGTACATTAGAACCAGTTCTTGCCTCCACTTTATTTTCCTATAAATTTTTGCCCTGGTTTAAAATTTAAAACCGAGTTGCCTTTTCACCATAGCTAAGATGGTGACACTAGATGCACATCTACAAAACGTTCAAGAACTATCATTACCATTATATGCATTTTTCAAATGAATAACATCAACTACAAGAAAAGCAACCCAGTTTGTCCCCATCTACATGAGGTGAAACCATTTTCGGTAGTAAAATTGCTCATCCCTTCTCACTTTCCATTACAACCATGCAAAGAAAACGAAATGGATAAAAATTAATATTTAGAGTTTCTTCTGTCAAAACTACCCATTGAAACAGATCAGTGTTTGTGATAGCCCCAAATGATCTTAATTTCCAATTTAGGAAAGGGATTAAGGCCATCTTATCCAACCACAACTCATGCTCTTAAAAGAATCACCACCATACGAACCATTTCTACTAGCCCATACTCTCCATCAACGAACTGAATGCCATAACCAAAAGTGGACCAACCTGTAACAAACTAATATAAATGTGGAGCGATCTCATCTGTCTGAGGATCAATCCACTGGAAAAATATACTGAGATAGCTGCAATCAATCAACAACAAACATTCTGTGCAATTCCGAAACACATCATCGAGTTAGAACAAATATCCATACATTGTTGCAAGATCCAAGATTGTTTTTAAACAAGTCTCACAGCACCACCTCTTTCCTGACTCCCAGCAGCAGATGCAATCACAAACTCTGCTTTTCGAGTTGCATCGAATGCCAAGTTCACATCATTTGTCTAAAACAATCAAGAGAGAAAAAAATCAATATATACAGACACTATTACCGAATGGTGATGCAAATTGGCATTATGTGCTTGTTTGAAATGCAAATCATTACGTAATATACAGTTAGTGCTGATGGTTAAAAAAACACAATCGTAATCTACTTAATTTCAGGTTACTCACGTACTAAAAGGTATGGCAATATGACAGCATAAACCTAAGCTTATTCTTCTTCAGTCAAACTTGAATTATGTGCAGCTACTCCAAAATTTCAACTTCATTTAATTTAGAGGCTTTTACAGTAAGTTCTAACTGAGAGCTCACAGTGTAGCTGCTGGTAGAAAGGATGGCTCACGTTAAATATACCAGCGCGAGGCCTGGGCGGGGCGCGGAGACCGGCACTAGCGGCGCAGCGGCAGGCGGCGCCCGGTGGGATGGCGTCCGCTGTCCGCAGGAGCTCGTCTCCTCGGTCCTCGCCTCCTCCTGTGCTGCTGCCGGGCGTGGCGGTGTGGCCCCCCTGCTCAGCGCAGAACCTGGGAGCGGCGGTGGCGCGGGACCCCCTGCAGCGGCGGCGCCTCTGGGAGCGGCGCAGCCCCTGCAGCGGCGTGGCCCCTGGGCGCGGCCCCTGCTGGAATCCCCTGGAGCAGAGCAGCGGCGAGGTAGCTCTGGATCGAGCGGCGGCGACGGGAGAGGACCGGGAGCGCGTGGGCTGCGACTTGGGATGGATGGGGCGCCGTGTTTTCTTTCACGGAAGGAACTAAGGGGATAAGGTCATAAAGGTGAGCGGACTAGGGTTCTGGAGATTCGGCGGACAAATTTTGGGCAAAGGGCAGCGCGCTAGATTTTAGCTCTAATATATACCGATCGATCATACGATGTTATTACTAACATATACTGACCGATAGCACGCTATCTATAGCGACCGATAAATAGCCGCTAAAGGCATTTTATCAATTGATTAGTTTTAACGACCGATGTCGTGAAAACCAGTCTAGGCTTTCTCGATTTTTAAATTGATGTTATTTTAGTGAAAACCAGTAAAAATACACATGTGACACACACATGTTTGGACACTCAGTCACTCGGCTACTTAATTAATTAGCCATCAGACACTTGACCTCTTGCGTTTAGTCACTCGGCCACTCAACGAACTAGTCATTTAGTCACTCAATCACTAAGCCACTAAGCCACTCAGTCATTTGGCTACTCAGTCTAAGGCCGTGCACAGAGATGTGCGAGCCGTGCGATCGTACGAGCCCTAAATTAACTATTGCTAATAAATAATTTTGTTTATACATAGCTAACCAGTAATCAATATTTAATGTGTCAACTCTAGAAATCACTACATTTCTTTTTATTTGGTACTATGTAGATTAATCTATATTGTTTGTCCATTCGACTGACTACTCCGTTCCGATCCAACTTGCTGAGTAACGTCTCCGCTAGGTAGCTAGGGAATCTCGAGCCCAATACTCAATTGCTAACATCAAAGTGCAAACTGAAAAGCGTTATGAGGTGTATTGGCAAGTGCTAGACTATATATCGTAGTGTCACGGATCAATAAGAATTTTGGGATGATTGGTACCTGGAGGCTAGCACTCCGCAAGCAAGTAGCGTAATTCTTAAAAAAAAAAAGTGTAGGTAATTGGCTGTTTGTCTTGTATTATTGTAGAAAATATTTTCCTTTTGTTAATTATTCAATGTTATAGGTTGGTGCTATAGAGTATTGTATATACTTATTGTTTATTTTTCTAGACTATTAGGGGCCTATTTTAAAGTTTAGAACATGGTTCTAACTTTTGTCGGCACGGTCCTGACTCAGGGCGTCCCGCGCATGCGAGCTACTCCATACTAGCTATTTGCATACGTGGACAGCAGAGAAATATTAAAAATCTCAACGCTAGCGAGGCTGTGTTTAGTTCGTGAAATTTAAGAATTTGATATGGTAGTATTTTCGTTTTTATTTAGATAATTAGTGTTTAATCATAAACTAATTAGACTTAAAAAGTTCTTCTCGTGATTTTCAACCAAACTATATAATTAGTTTTTTTTATCTATATTTAATTGATTTGATGTAATGACACTGTAGGACTTCCTAAACAAGAGAAGCTCGTCGCTCAGCTCGCACATCTACCTATGAAACCTGCTGTCTCTGTCATCCTGATCCACCCATGTGAGCTGTGCAGCTAAATATTTGTTTATTGTTTCAGTTCCGCTCCTCGCCTGTCGATTTTAGGCCGCCGTTGAGGACGCCCTCAGTCACTCAGTAACTCGACCAATGAGCCACAGCCACTTAGCCACTAGATAACATATACGTGAGGGAACTACGAAGCATTATGATAAAATACAAAATGAATATATTTATGTTTAGATAAATAAGTGCAAAATCAGATAAAGAGGAGCATATCTGGTTACTGGTTTCTCTCCTGGAAAACTTGGGTTCTCATCAAATTGCACGTTCTGCTGTTTTCGCGTGCCATGAACAGAAATAACTTGTGTATGCAGCTTCCAAAGAGATATACTTTACTGGCCCATTAGCTAACCTGAACATCAGCAAAATCACAACAACTTCCAAAGATATATGCTCTAGTGGCTCATTAGCGAACCTGGACATTTTTTTCGCGACCATGCTTAGCATATATATCATTAGGAAGAAGATGGAGTTTTACGGTGAAAAGCGCTGCTTGCCAAGAATGCGAGTAGCACACACCATAGCCTAGCAGCGTTAGCCCCGTAGGAGCCAAAAATGCCGACCGGCGCCGCTAAGAAAGCGAACCTGGACATCAGCGTCACTGTTGGAAAAATCAATAGAATCTCAAACATAGTTAGTTAGAGGCCTGTTTCTAGGGCCCAAAAGATAAAAAAAAAGGGACTCGAGATCTAAAAACTCTTCAGTTTGACGTTAATGCGGCACAACCAGAAAAAAATCAAAGGGAATGAGAATACTCCATTGTAAGATAAAAAAACAAACTAAAAATTGTAGGTTATGGTCCACGCATTTTGCACACAAATTCGCTATTTAGAATCTATATTCATTACAAGTTTGCTGGATACTCTAGTTCACAGACCTAATTTTGTTGGGCCTTGCATATATCATTTGCCAATGAGCTCATGAACTTACACGAAATGTTAGTGAAGATTTTTTGTTCTTTGTGAATCGCTTGAGTGGCCTAACCTGTCATAAAGCACCAATACAATTTTAAGTCTGTGTATTTCCGTTGGTTAATGGGAATGGGGAACTCCTCACGTTGAAAAAAAAAATACAATTTGAAGTAATTGGTTGCTAATCCAATATGAAAAAAATAACTTGACTCTAAGCAAATTGTTTCAGTATTCAGCTACAACTCTGAATCGTTGTCTATGATTCTAGTGTGATCTAAAAAAAATTATTTCATGACAGTAGACGTGATGTTTTTCCAGTAATGCCACATACATGTGCACATCCATCGTACATTCAAATCCTTGTTCTGTTAATAACTTAACTCTTCACTTATCAATTTAGAAAACTTTTCAATCATGCATTAGACATATGGAAATTAAAGTGTCTTACCGGCAGGTACGACACCCGCAAGAGCTATGCAACTAACTGTAAAATATTGGACTCAAACAATATTTCGGCTTTATTTGACCTGCAAAAGAAATGATCGCATGCAAAAATAAATTCATTTTATATATTCTATAGCTCTTTAAACAAATGTAGCAAATTATACACATTTTTGCAGTCGTGATCATGCAGTTCTGTAGCCATACACCTATATTGGAATGGCACATCGGGGCACAAATTTCAGACCTACCAGCAAATTCTGAATACAACTGTGGCTGCCCAAACATTTACAATGGCGTCAATCCTTTTTATTGCATCCTCAATACGATGAGAACGAAACCAATTACCAATGGCTTATACCAGCATGTATTTCAATTTTAGAAAATTGGTGTGATCGGCCTTTTCAACCCATAAATGAACAAATCGTACCTATACCGGATATGGACCACTGTACCTACAAATTGAATGGGAAACAACATTTCTCCAGGGCTCGAGAAAACCATTGGAAGAAGTCTATGCGTTCTTCCTCCACATGTGCGGGTGGCGACAGTGGCAATTCTGAAGGCAGGTGACGGTGAAATGCATCTACAGCTGCTGCCACACCATCCTCATTGCCTATTGCTATCGCCAGTTCCATTGTTCGTGATTTTACCTTCAGCAAAGGACCATAAATGGATTAATTAGCACAATGTGGCCTTACCAAAGCAGAGTTCTGCATCAAAAACACTCTTGGCATACTAATGTACATAGAAGAATCAGATAAGTGCGTCACATATAACCAGATGCATACAGTGAAAGCATAAGAAATAGTACTACCTCTGGATCAAGCATGAATCTTATTGCATTTGATAGTGCCTCTACAGTAAGTTCTGCAATAGGTATAGGTGCAGGACCCACTCCTCGTGCATGAACTCTCTCGCCCCAGAAGAACTGGTCTCCAAAAAATGGCACTACGGTAGTAGGACACTGTCAAGGGTACAAAGAGTTGTCAAGAGCACTTACAAAGGATTGATGGTAGTCAATGCTATAGATGCTAATTGCCAACTTCTTGCTATTCATTGCAGATTATATAGTCAGCTGAAACTCTGTATTGCATGCCTCCATTAGGCTGTAAGCCTTTTGCTTTATAAACAATCTAGATTATATAATCAGCTGAACCTTATATGGCCACCCTCAAGTGCTCTATTCTTTAATTTAAGTAACATGTTTGAACAAAAAAAAAGCATTCATATCCTAAGGCCCTTATTATGCTCGCTCAAACCTCTGTAGCACAGAGAATTTCATTCAGCAAAGAGATTAGCAGCTTACCCCAGCTATCAGCCCTGCTGCTGTAGTACCTGCTCCACCATGATGCACCTAATAATCGCACATATAATCTGATTAGTAAATTGTATTCATATACAGAAAATATATTGGATAGAACAAGGTTTGAATGGCTGTAAGTATCTTTTGCGGGAAGAAATGTGTTTTCAGCGAAAGCTTAAAAGTAATGTTTTTTCACATGCTATGGCCTTGGTGATGCATCAAAAACATATACTTGCTCTACCACCTACTACTCCCTCCACTGATCTTTATTTGACACTCAATATAGATTTGGCGTCCCGGGGTGTGGGCATCCTCAATAGCCAAAATATCATGTTGAAATGCTTCAAAATATCATCAGAGAAATCATGTATCTAGTACACATAAAGTTACATATAGTTCAGTTTGAAATTCATCTTAGATGTCAAGAAACAAAATGGACAAGCAGTCAATCGGTACTGTTCATCATGTGATGACAGTGCGCTTGTGTTTTTTTGAATCTCAACATCAAAGATGAATTTTAAACTGAATTGTTGCATCTATACTTAACTTTATGTGTAATACATACACGATTTCTGTGATGATTTTTTGAAACATTGCAACATGATATTTTGGCTAAAGAGCCTACCCCATGACGCCAAAACATTACTGATTTTGACATTACTGATTTTTTGTGGACTTCAAGACAAATCTGGCAATCACTGTAGATTCATTCCAATATGTAATAACAGAACTGTATTTTATGAAGATATTAAATACATTGATAAATAATTTGGTTATCAGTATACTAATACATACTCACTCCGTTCCAAATTGTAAGTCGTTTTAGCTTTGTCCTAAGTCAAACTTCTCTAGCTTTGACCAAGTCTATAAAAAAAATGCATAAACGTGTATAACATGAATCAAGATTGCCCGGCAAAACTCTTGCCGCCCTTTCGGAAAGAAAAAACATGAATCAAGATTCGTTAGATACACCATGAAATATATTTTCTTTTCTCGTGTGTATTATCGCATTAAGAACTTATAGAATACAATGCACATGAGACACACCCCCTCGCAATTTCACATAGTTATATTCTCACCTTAGAAGAAACTATAACTACCCAACCAGGCGGAGAACTAACCCCTAATAAGCAACGACCTCTAGATGAGCCAATCCTAGCAACAGCTAGGCACCAGAGACTAGTCTCCTCTAAAATTTGTCTAAGAACAGTTTTGTACACTGGGATGTTTCCATTGGGACCAAGCAACCAAAATGATCAAAGAATGTAGCACTCCCTTGCTGTTCCTAGGAAACAAAGCAAGTATTCTCATCCGCCAGTCACAGAAGATACTGTCATCTGGGAAAGGTGAGAAGTCAGGCAGCCCATAACAATGAAAGATGAGATACCACACTTGTCTTGCAAACACACAGCCACACAGGATGTGTTTGATGATCTCATTTCCTGCTCACATAAGGGGCCAATTTTGATAGTGTAGATTGTAATATATTTTTCAATAGAATTGGTCAAAGTTAGACAAATTTGACTTATGAAAAAACTAAAACGACTTACAATATGAATCGGAGGGAGTATATTCTATTTTATGACTTCTCATACAATCTGATCACTATGTTTATAACTACATGTCAATATATACCAATAGAAAGCTTCATGTCCTGTACCAGACAAGGATACATGCCTGACACAAGGCATAGCACCTCCCTGGCATGTCTGAAATAGTAAACTCACCACTGCAGCACACTGAGGGAAGAGCCAATCGTGAGGGCAATCCTCCAAGATGAAGACATCAACTGGAACTTCTGAAACTGCAGTTGGCATATATGAAATATAAAGAAGTTAGGCTATTCATGCTGTTCTACATACATCAGATAGCAATAGTAACATTAACTTCATCATGATCTGGTATATGCAATAAAGGACTGAGTTGCAATGCAACAAATACTAAACCAGGTAACTTACAATTTCCAAGAGCTCCCCAACCACGGCTAACGATTCCCCTCTGTCCGGTTTCTCTAAGTGCATCCAAAATGATAGCAGTGACTTTCTTCTCATCATCAAGAGGCTTCGAACATAGCATAAACCAAGTTAGCAGAAATAAGATGGTAGTTGTGTCAGCACAACAAAAGGGAGAGAAAGCATTTTGTAGAACATTACATCAACAAATTCTAACAGGATGGTAATAAAAAAAATGAAAGAACATAAATGCTCACAGTGGTACGCTCCTGTCGAGCAAACAGCAAGTAGTGCTTGACATGAGCTTTGGTACTTTAAATTTATACAGGTCTGTTATCATTATTACTTTTTAAAAAGACTCATATAGCTATTATGAGTAAAGCTAAAAAGCAGGATGACCATCCATTGAATATTATTGAGAATGGCAAAAACAAAATGAAAGAAATTACGCTTCCAGACAACAAAGAAACTGAGATTTAACCTGCATAGCCTTAATGACCTTAAGATAGATGGCATCATATATACATCATTCAGAAATTGAGGGCTCCATGTATCCAGTAGGTAAGAGCATCTCCAGCGGACATTACAAATTCTACCCTCCATATCTTCATATGGCTATCTACTCCATAAGATTCCCTCCCTATTTTTCAGCATACTCCAGCAAACTAGCCAAATCTCGCTCTCCATATCCAATTGACTATATTTTATTGGTATTCAAATTAACATGAATTGATACATTTTTCCTAGATTTTTGGCAAACAAATGATGCCCTAAAGTTCAAATTTCGAGAAAAACAGACAACTTTGAGGAATTTTAATTTAAAATCGGTAAGAGACTTTGAGTTAAATCCAATTAAATGGGTTCTCTGTTATTCATTTGTTCTATCAGTAAAAAATAGGAGTGATTTTAAGACCTTGATAGTCGCCTTTTGAATTTATGAAAGAGGGGGGTAGGAATGAAATTTTGAAGCAAAACGACATAAACAGGCACCGGCCCTAGCTGTCAGACTCACGGAATGGAGGATAGCGAGGCATGCTGACCAGCAAAATTTGGCTGCCCACACTCGCACGACAGTGTCAACAGGGATGGTGATTCCATTGGCTAGTCTGCTGGAGGTTCAATTCTTGCAAGATGGATAAAAAAAGCGATGGCGAGTCTGATGCCATGTGTGCTGGAGATGCTCTAAGTGTGCTAAAGATCCATGGTATGTGATGAAGTAAGCAATAGGGGGAAACCTTTTCTAAAGAAAAATCTTGCATTCTCAATGAATTCTTCGTTTTCTATGGGGTCATACATATAGTGGTACTTGTAAACTCTGTGGGTTGTCTTTGTGGACTGCCAGTTTGATCATGTGTTTCAGACTGTAACAAGTTTGTTCTGTTTGGGTCTGTCCTGCCTTCTCCTAGTACAGCAAACTCTTAGGCAGAGTTGTTGGTTTGGAGGAAGTAAGGCCTTCCTCTCACCTTGTGCTGTTCTTTCCTTTCCCCGTTTTCTGTATCTAACTCTTGTATTTCCATTTTTGATAAGGGAAATGGGGAACAGCCTCGATTCAAAACAATATATATCAGCCAGAATTACTGAGATAAATTCTTCCCTCATAGAGTACATACCATGCTACCAAAACCAATGTATATTGGCTTGGGCCCCTGTTGAAGCCACTGTGATAGTTCTGGTGGTGATTGATACTTTGTTCCAAGATTTAAGAAGCAATATCCCACAACATCCACTAGAGGACCCCAATCTGAAGAGGACAAAACATCATTAATAAGGGCTTAGTGTAAACAAGACTATGCTAGCACAGGAACAGTTACCAATTATGAAATTCATAAATTAATTTGAATGCCACCAAGGTATATCCATCTAACAAAATTGATAGATGCAGAAAGCTGTGTGATCCGGATAAGAGAGAACAAGGCACATGACTTCTCTTTTGTTCAATTTTGTACAATATTACAGAACGGTATATTCATCTAGCTTTGCATACGCACAAGAAATATTTTATGCCCTAAAAATCATGTGAAGTCTTTGCTCAATGTTGTTTGTCAGAGGCACATCAGCAAGGCTACACATGTATCAAATTTGAGCCCCTTTTGGACGTTGGCTAGACTGTGTGACTTGTTGTGAACTATTAGTGGATTGCCCACCTCTTCCCAATTGCTTAAGCTTTTGGGTTCACTTGGTTGGTGCATGAAACCTAACATGGTATCAAAGCCAGAGGTCTCGAGTTCGAGTCCTGGTAGAGGCATCTTTTAAGTCCTCCGCTCCCTTCTTTATTTCCACGTTTGCACCTTGTTCTGGCTGCACGTGAGTGGGAGTGTTGTGAAGTATTAGTGGATTGCCCACCTCTTCCCAATCGCTTAAGCTTTTGGGTTCACTTGGTTGGTGCATGAAACCTAACATGACTTAACTCACAAGCACATCGTTATCAAAATCATCAGATGGGCTCTCACAGACAGTGAGGAGTGATTAAGAAGAAAACTCAAACTTCATTGCTTAGGTCTGGCTTCTCTCTAACAGACGATTGCTCGCCTTCGCTCCAGGATCCTTTATCTAAAGGAGGGTGATGCCAATACATCCTTTTTCCATCAGCAAGCGCGTTTCAGAAAGAAAAAAAAATTCATCACCAAGCTGCAGGTGGATGATCAGGAGGAAAAGCAGGAGGCAGTGCTGGATTTTTATGAGAACCTGTTGGGGACAGCGGAGGAAAGGGAGTACACCATTGATCTTGATGCAATCGGGGTACAACAGCATGATCTCTCCACATTAGATTGCCCTTTCTCTGAAGCAATGTTTTCAAGTCATCCGATTAATCGCGATTAATCGTCCTAATCGGTCCCTGGTGACTGATTAGGGGTACCGTCGATTTGTACAAGTCGTCCGACTAATCGTGATTAATCGTGATTAATCATCCTAGTCGGTCCCATGGCGACTAGGTTCGACTGGACGACTTGAAAACATTGCTCTGAAGAAGTGTGGGCTACAATCAAGGGGATGCCTCTGGACAAGGCCCCAGGGCCTGATGGTTTCACTGGCAGATTTTATAAAACATGTTGGAATATCATCAAGGGTGATATCATGTTGGCACTCGAAGCAATTCAACGTGGTCATGTTTTCAAGTTCAAGCTCCTCAATACGGCTTTCATCACCCTCCTACCCAAGGATTTCAGGCCAATAAGTCTGATACACAGTTTTGCTAAGCTGGTTACCAAAGTCATGGCCAACAGGCTGGTACCTTTGCTGCCTACTCTGGTCCCTTCTAATCAAAGTGCTTTTGTCTGAGGAAGAAGCATCCATGACAATTTTTTATTTGTCCAGCAAATGGTAAAAGCTTTACACAGAAAGAAGGAGGCTCACATCCTTCTCAAGCTAGACATCTCTAAAGCTTTCGATTCAGTTTCATGGCCTTTTCTTCTGGAGGTCCTGCAGCATCTTGGTTTTGGGCAGCGGTGGTGTAATCTTTTATGCCTGATCCTGTCCACCTCCTCTACTCAAGTGCTGGTCAATGGGGAGCCGGGTGCTGGTTTTTTCCATCAAAAGGGCCTCAGGCAAGGGGACCCTCTTACCCCCATGCTCTTCATCTTGGTAATGGATGTGTTAAACTCTCTGATTAAATTTGCCACTACTGAGAATCTCCTGCAACCTTTGGCAGTCCAGCAGGTCAGGCACCGGGTTTCTTTCTATGCGGATGATGCAGTTATTTTTCTACGGCCCAGCAGCTCTGACCTCCTAGTTATGAGGCAGGTGTTGGATCTGTTTGGTCAAGCGTCTGGACTTCATACCAATTTTTCAAAAAGCTCTTCCTCCCCAATTCATTGCTCAGACGAAGACTTGCAGCAGACCTCTGATATTTTGGCCTGTGCAATCAAAGATTTTCCGTGTACCTATTTGGGTTTGCCGCTGACCTTGAGAAAGCCAACTAAGGAGGTGTTCCAGCCCTTCATTGACAAGGTCGCGGACCATCTACCAGGTTGGAAAGCTTCACTGATGAATAGAGCAGGCCGTTTGGTTTTAACACGGGTGGTCCTGACAGCCACTGTAATTTACCTTCTGATTGCGGTGGATCTTCCCAAATGGGTTATCAGAGCCATCGACAAGAAACAGAGGGGATTTTTATGGAGAGGACAGAAAAAGGCTAATGGAGGAAAGTGCCTGGTAGCCTGGGAAAAGGTTCAGAGGCCTTTTGAATATGGAGGGCTGGGCATTCACAATCTGGAATATTTTGGTTGGGCACTTCGAATCCGCTGGCTTTGGGCACAGAAAACAGATCCATCAAGACCTTGGGCTGGTCTCACCATCCAGGTACCACAAAAAGCTCAAGCCTTGTTTCATATGGCGGTTGATGCAATAGTTGGAAATGGGGACACAATTTTATTCTGGTCAGATCGCTGGACAAATGGCAACACTATGGCAGAAATAGTTCCAAACCTTTATAAAGCCGTCCCCAAAAGGGTGGTGAGATCAAGGACAGTAGCACAAGCTCTAAATAATAGGGTCTGGGCATCTGACATAAAAGGGGCTCTCACTGTCCCAGTTCTGATGCACTATTTTAGGATTTGGGACTTGTTGGATAGAGTGGTCTTGCAGCAGGAAGTTCAGGATCATTTTCGATGGAAGCTGACCCAAACTTGTACATATAGCAGCAAGTCCGCTTACGAGGCCTTCTTTGTTGGTTCCATAAAATTTGCAGCATGGCGAAGAATCTGGCGGAGCTGGGCACCTCTACGCTGCAAATTCTTCATTTGGTTGGCATTAAAAGGAAGGATCTGGACGGCGGATCGCCTGGCCAAGCGTGGGCTGCAACACCCAGACGCCTGTCCTCTGTGTGACCAGGCACAGGAAACAGCCCAGCACCTTCTTTTATCATGCGTGTTCACTCGTCAGGTTTGGTTCTTCATTTTCCAATATCTGAACCTGGTCGTCGACTTGCCCACGGCTGAGTCCTCTAGTTTCTCGGCCTGGTGGTGCAACACCATCCGGTCAGTGCCAAAAGATATGCGGATAGGTTTGAACTCTTTCATCATACTTGTGGCCTGGGAGGTTTGGAAGCACTGCAACTCCTGCGTGTTTGAAGGAGCACGTCCAAGCATCCAGATACTACTCCAAACAGTGGCAAATGAGAGCTCCTTGTGGTGTATGGCTGGGGCCTCAAAGCTCCAGGAGCTCCTCACTAGGTCGCTGGTGCTGGGCACTTAGGCGCCATGGCTACCGGTCAAGTCTGCAATTTTTTGTTGGCAATTTTTGTTTTCTGTTTTGGTGGGTGTTGGTGTGCAAGGATTGGGGGGTCTCCCCTAATCTTTTGTATTTGTTCACTTCTTTCTTAATGAAATGACGCGCAGCTCTCCTGCGTAGTTCGAGAAAAAAAAATCATCGGATGGTATTGTTTCTAAGATACAATTCTGGGGGATGCATTACATTCAGTGCTACTTGTACCTTCTGCATTTACATTCTTTTTTTCTCGAACTACGCAGGAGATCTGCATGTCATTTCATTAAGATAGAGGAATACAAGATCTGCTGGATTTAGAAAGAAACCCAGCAAGCCGGAAAAAACAAACAAAACCCCCTGCATTTACATTCACGGGGGTGCATTACGTTCACACTTTGGAAAAATATCAAGCAATTTCAATTGAATTAACTGATAAGTAGCTCGCATAACGAAGCTAAATTAAGTAAAATTAGATTACCTTTTGGCTTTGGCATAAGTTGAGGGCTCCACATGTATCCAGTAGGTAAGTGTGATATAGATCCATGGTATGTGCTGAAGTAAGCAACAGGGGGCAAATTTAATTTCTTCCTGAAATCATTTATGAATCCCCTGGAGCCCCACCAAACTATTAAATCCAGAATAAGATATGATAGCTGAACGTGAGAGGTGCAAAGATGTCAGAATTTTTTTCTGAAAAAATAGAACAATTGCACCTTCCTATGCAAAAGAGAGAGAAATCACACATTCAAATTGCATATCTAGAATAGTGAAAAGGTGGAAGTGGTAATACCCTATAAGTTGCACTTTGAGGCATTCGTGCCAATGGATGTGGGAATTCATTAGTTGGCCTATCAACAAATGCTAGCAGTTAGGAAAACATACATAGAAGAACCGTCCATAAACGTTAGTTAAAAAATATGTACAATCTCACACAAGCATTCACATATATTTATTGAAGTGATATTTCTCTACTTTTTTACAATGTATTCTCTTCTAAAAATATATATCTAATGTAACTCAGGAATCTATGTGGCATTTATTTCCATCCTGAGGTGACCATATTAGCATGCCAAAATGAGGGAAGCTAGCCTGCATGAGGCAGTCATACTGATAGTCATAGGAATATTTTAAGCAACACAAAGAAATAATATTAGGTAAACGGGCAATTTAACTTTTGTTGTTTACTTGTCAAGCTTTAATCAATGGTGCTCAGGAAATTTGTTAGCAGCTCCACAGTGATAAAAAATAATGTAGAAATCTTCACAGGGATAAAAACTTGAATTTGTTATAAATATTTCATCCTGGAAGATTCATCAGTACAGACTTACGTCCATGGAAAAGTGAAGAAGATATGCAGAGGTGCTCCAAGAGCTTCTGCGATATGCATATGACCTGAAAGTCACATGATTTGTTAGGAGCATGGAACAATACAATCCAGAAATGAAATTCATCACCCTATTTTATTTGGACAGAAATAACTTTCTGGACAACTTGAGACAGTGATGATTGTGGTACAGATGCTCAAATGTGAGCAAGCACTACAAGAAGGGATATTATGCTTGGAAATATTATGGAATAGGGCAATCTACAAGTATCGGCTGCAAATGAGATTGATTCTTGAGTAGTTTCATGGGCTGACAAAACCAGAATTGCTAAACCAAAAGGCAGCAATATGCCATGGTCTTATATGGATTAGTAAATAAATCTAATTAAAGATGGGCAATTGAAGCATTATATTTGGTTGGTAAGTTAGAAAATTTCCACATTAATCAGAAGAAAGGAAAGTCCCAACTTCAGGTACAGGAGAAAAAGAGGTCCTATATATTGGGAGTTATGGTTTTACTAGATGGGAGAGCATGTCAAAGTTAAAAACAAGAATAAGATAAATTTACAGTAGGGTACAGGGGAAAAACACTGGATTTGTAATCAAAGCTGATTAAACCCCTGTTACTTTGTCTGATGATCCATAAGCACAATTTTTATCATCACAGTGTTTCATAAATCCCACCCTTATGAAATTACAAGTGCTGACAAGATGGACAAACACACAATGCCACATTGTCCTCTGTGCACTCCACCAGCGCAGCCATATTGCCAGCTCAGGTGCTTAGTTCCTAAAGGTGGGGGTTCAAGAAAGATTAGGATGAAAGACCCGAGGATAATCGACAAATATTACCATAAAACCACATTTTTATTTTCAAATTTTATTAAAGAATGTTGAAATTTGGTGTAAAATAGCAATGTCATGATGGACAGACCCACCATAAGCAGGAGGGTTCGCAATTATTGCCTGAGCTCTGAAAGGAGTTCCAGTATCCAAATCAGGTTCTGTGCATGCAGGTAGAAGTGAGAAGATGATTTCCTTAAGCTGCTTTCTTTGAACGGCAATCTCTGCTGGTGCAGCCAGGAAAAACCCTTTGTTTTTTGTCATATCTGCAGTTGAAAGTGCACCCCTTAATCAAAATTGAGTATGAAGGACACAAGCATCCTTATATCAGTTTAATTGGCTAAAGAATCGATGTCTTGTTCCATAAACAACAAGGTGTCCGAATTATTATTTCATTCATTAACAAACCACAATTCGATTGTTTAGACTCTTCTTCAACAATTTTGACTTTTTTTCTAGAACACACTGGTGAGCTGTGTACCGTTATATTAAGAAGAAAAACAAGTATGTTTAGATGGATAATAAAGTGAAGAAAAATAACCAAGTGCCGCTTTACAGTAGGTTGCATTTTTTAATAGAGTAAGGAACCGAGGTGATTATAACTATCTCAGCACATTAGACAGTATCGAATGCTCTTTATCTTAGTAGAAAACACAATATTCAAGATAAAAGAGCACTTAAGCCATACACTGAGCCATAACCCGAGGATCACCACCCAATGGGTAAAAATCAATGCCAGCTGACTTCACAAAAGTACGGAAATTGGCATGAGTTGCCAATCTAACATAATGACCGAATTCCTGCAGAAAAATTTCAATCTTCAATTCAAGTTACAAAACCATGAATTTGAAACAGAAGTTCGAGTTTTTTATTTCCAAGAAAGAAAAGGAAGTGTAACAATATTACAAAGCCATCATATTGTTTCTTGATGGTGAGTAAAATTAGAGGATGTCGTATCATGACTGTTTGATATTCTGATGTTTTGAATGTAAACTCAAATATTTTTAAGTTTTGTGAACACCTACTGGGGGGTTGAACTGAGCGCCTACACAGTGGAAGATACCTAGATTAATCTCTCTAGGTCGGAATCCAGTCAAATACAAAAAGGAGGCCATGTTCAATCCATGAAAATATCTAATGAGCACTGTATCATCTAAAGATTTTGAAGTAAGCAACACAGGCATAGATTTGCTCTTAACTTAGGACAATAAGCAAGATTAATACCAATTTCAAAACAAATCAGAGAAGATAATGATAACTTTACTCTTGGTATACTTGACTGCATGCTCAAAAAAGTGAATTAAAAATCTGCATTTTCCAGAATCCCCATTATACATCAGTATGCTGCTGCACAATGTTTTTATTTTCCGGAGAGCCTTAGTCTCTCTAGCAGGTGCTTGCAGGTTCACCTACCTGCAGTCGTTTAGCTAATGCTATAAAAGGCTGTACATCCCCTCGGGTTCCAACTACAAGTATAGCAATCTTCAGCTTTGGGACTGACTTGGTGATTCCAGGTGTAACTTTTTCAATATCACGTGGTACATAACCAAAAGCATCAATCTCCGAGAGTTCTGAGGCAACAAGAGCACTGCGCGTCACATCTACCTCCACTGTACCATCATTCTGGATCTTTACTAACCTTTCGGTTATCTTTATCTGGAGTACCAAACAACAATGAATAGCTATAGGTATAACATAAGTCTGAAAATACCAAAGAAAGGAGAAGCATGGAAATTTCAAGACAAAATTTATCTTTTTTATAGAAATGCTGTTCCTGGCTTTCACAAGTTCTCCAGAACTAAAACAAAACACTCCAGTATAACCATTTTTTTAAAAGACCTGGACATTACCGGTTTAAATTAATAAGAGAGAGCTAGCAGAATTACATAGCCGGAGGCAGTATAATCATAGTGACAACATACTAAAGTCAACTGGTTTCTTGCACCAACATAATGAAAACATTAGAAACAGATGGAGTATACTGGTAGTAATACAGTGATGGTTGCAATTAGATATCACACTGCCTGTAAAGACTAGTATTCATAAGAGACCAACTCTCAACATCAGAAAATCAACAGGACCACTGCAGTACTGAGATGAACAAATAAACAGACAGTATCCATACACATGCATTTTTCATAAATAAATGGACACACTGCCTTTTTATCGACCATGCAACAATAGTAAACTAAATAAATAAAGTGTGCATTAATATGCATACCTTCTCATTTTCTGATAGCATATCCAAAGTGAGGTCACACTTCAGCAACCTATCAGAGTATGACCTTACAAAAACGTTTTCTTGCCCTTTAAAGATACCAGAAGTAGCAGTTGATGATTTACTATGCCCAAATGCTGTAGAAGAACAAATGGATAATGTTTCAGACCAGAAAAATAAGCATGTTTGGAACTCTCTAGTAGAGTTCTGCCGTACTGTTGTTCCCATTACAATTTATTTATTCTACTAGTCTATTATTAGATCAAATTCCTCTCTATTTTTACAAAATAGCAATTTAGTCTAGAAATATGGCACCCTTGCTTTCATTTTATACAACTTACAACATGATGCAATCACGTAGCTGATTGAAAGATTAACTGCAGCAGATGCTATAGCGTTCAGTAGCTTGCTTTTTCAAAATGAAGGAGCACACTTCTAGCTCTGTTGAAACCATAGTAACTTTGAGACAGATGTTTGGCAATTACAACGCACGACATGACTAGCATGAACAAAACAAAGCCGAGACAATATTGTGATTTGCGACTGCCAACACGACCGTGTGACAGCAGCCATAAAACAATAACCTTCGTCACAAATAAGTTTGCTATGGTTCATTCTTACATGTGACATCTACAATCGTGAATTTTTAGTCCCAAGCAAGATGGGTAGACTACATTCAAACCTGACAAAATCTTAAATCATTGCAGTTCTATATCAGGCATTTCATCGCACACCCGCATTGGCATGGCACTAAACTTGGCCATGTCACGGTTTCCCTTCACGGAACTTACCACACGTAACATCTCAGTCTCCACGTTTACACACATGCTGCTACTGAAATCCTCAAAATTCACAAGCCCACCGGAACCAAACACAAACAGTCCGGAGACGTACCTGGCTGCCGCGACGAGACAAATAACTCATCGTCGTCGACCGATCCGGAGAACCTGGCGTCCATGGACCTCAGCACGAATTCCCCCATCCCCTCCGCAAAGGAGGAGGATGCGCCCAAGCCGGCAGCCTCGGCACCACCCTTCCGCCTCCGAACGCCGCCGCCCACTATCGTCTCCTCCCACTCCTCGCCGTTGATCCCCATAATCTGCGATGGCGAGGTGGCAACAAGCCGCCGCGATATGAGAAACTACCAGTGCTCCCGGCCCCGCGCCGCCATTGCTCGCGCCGCCGAGAGTTCGAAACCCTTGGAAGCGTGGACTCTCTGGTGCCTGGTGGGCAGAAGACAGGGCGGGGACGTGCCAGTACGAGGTGTCCGTGTCGCCGAGAAGGATCGGAGCGTGGGTGGGGCCAGTCCGTGCGAGCCTGGCAAGCTGGAACTGGAGGCAGCGCCTCGAGCGCGGCGTGAGGCCGGAGGGGAGACTGACGGAGTGACGGGTTGAAACGGGGTGTGGGGTGCCGTTCCACGGGAGAGGGGATGGGGTTCAGGGCTTGGAGCCTGGGAACTATCCTTGCCGTAGGTTGTTGAACGAACGGTAGATTGGTGGACTTCGGTGCATGGACTCAGAGCATATAGGTGGTCCGTGGGGAACTGAAGATTACCAGGTGGTTTTGCCTTGAGACGTTGCAAGTTGCAACCCCGCAGCGTGTGAGTGAGTATATGTTTGGTCGGAGCCCGAAGAAAATTGTGAAAATTGCCTCGCCCAGCGTTCAACCAAGGAAATTTAAAATTAAATGTTTAAGATTGCTATTTGAGTCAAATAATTTTATCAGGTCAGTACTAGATAAGTCCTAAATATATGTTTAGTTGTTTCAGCCACCTCGTTTCGTCTTGCTCGCTCATACAAGAGTATTCATTTGTTTTTTTCTAGCCTAAAAGCACCATTTGGCTTGCTTTCGTTAGCGAGGGAAAACTTGTCCATATAGACCTCGAGGTACTCCGACTGGATATCCAAACAAACAGTTTTGCATCGGTAAAATGGAAAATAGTACAGTACGAGCAAAGGAACCATAGTGCCCTTATATCATGCAATGGGGGTTTGATTCTTCCTCTCTTTTTCTTCTTCTGCTTTTTTTTTCTTTCCCTGTTCTTCCTCCTCTGTCTTCATGAGAAACAAGAAAATAGGCACGACGAGGGGGTGAATCTTGGGAAGGCACCATGGAAAATTAACAAGTTGTGGGGGTATGACTAGGGATCAAAACGGTACGGATATTTTCCAACCGTATTTGAGACCGAATCCATTTAAAGGGGTTCAGATCTGTTCGTATCTGAGTTCGGATATTCAACATCCGATACCGTATCCGTATCCGAATACTCAAATCGCATATTTATGATGTCGATATCCAATCGTATCCTATCCGATATGGTTGACACTATCCGTATTCGAATCCGAATCCGGACAGAAATATGAAAACAAATATAATATTAGTGATATCCATTCGTATCCGATCCGTTTTCATCCCTAGATACGACCCCGGATATCCACGGCAGATTACATGGGTTACGCCCTCAGGGGTGATCCAGCCCACAAGACGAAGCCTTGCGAACACGGCGCTGCTCGGCGCGCCCCGTAAGACACCGGGAAGATATCTTGAAAATACCACGAGATCTGTTAGGATACGTTGAATCACATGATTCATGTAATCTGTTATTAACTTTCGGTTATCTCCTATATCTAACCGATTTGTAACACTGCCCCCAAGACTATATAAGGCGGGCAGGGACCTCCTCAAAACACACGTAATATCATACGATCGTCAATACAAACCAACAGACCACAGGAGTAGGGTATTATGGCGCCGTTCGCTGGTCTGATTTTTTCAGACCAGCCGGCTGGTTCCTTTCACAAATCACTATGCATCTTTCACCGCTACAGTATTTCTCTCTCACACAACCAGCCAGTTTTAGCTAAGTTTTAGACCAGCGAACGGGGCCTATGTCGTGCTGATGGTTCGAACATGTCTAACTCTTATGTCTCTATTGTCTTCTTGTTCTTGATTACGCGCACATCTGTCGATCAATCTACCTTCATGGAATACCTCTCGGAGGACTGCCGAGCATCTTTTGTCAACAGTTGGCGTGCCAGGTAGGGGTGTGCGTGTTGTTTATAGATGAACAAGATGGTACATTTTGCAGGCTCTTCGTCCTCCCCAAAGCCCGGCCAGATCTTTACGGTCGGATCGATCTCCTAGGTCATCAACGCTGACGGAGACGGAGAGATCATCAAGCCGGTGCAGATCGATTCTGCGCCGACCACACCCGCACCTACAACAGCAGATCCGATCTCAAAACCGCTTCTGAGGTCGTCTTCACCAATAATTCATCGTCCGCTCCTCCGCTATTCGAGGAAGAGGATCGACAACGGCGATCTGATCGCATCCATCGATCAAGTTGGCTAGAAACTCGTCGACTGCCTCTCCATCGCGGAATCGACTCTGACCACTCTAGTTCAGCGCCGACCACCCTCCGATTCTGATCCATCGGAGGCCGATCAGGAAACTCTAGGGGTTACAACCCTACCCTTTGGGCTCACCAGCATCGCCACCTCCTACGAAGGTGCCCTAAGGGGTAAATTCGCCGACCAGGTGGGAGACATCTATCCTCTCATCGATCATATTGCTGACCAGTTCTCGCCGACGGTCAACATGTTGCAAATCGGCCAACGTCCCGAAGCATCCCTCCAAACCATCCTGGAGGAAAACCCAGACTCCGAGTCCCATGGCTCTACGGAGACTATCGCCGAAACCACCGCCGTCCAACCTTCTTTCCCGCCTTTCCGAGGAGGCGGGATCTTCAATGTCAGCGTCGACAGCCCTACACAGTTGGAGAAACCATGCACAACGCCGAGCAAATGAGGTCGCCATTATGCTAGCCGAGGCTGCTCGCAACGAAGAACAGCTCGACTCATAAGGGAGGCCATGCCCACTCCACCGCAACCTCGATGATGAATTTGTCCATGTCGATGGCCATGATGTCTACAAGACTTCAAGCGCCAACTTGGTCGTGGCTGCTAATGAGCTTGCTCGGCTCGAGCAAACGCCAGAAGTCGCCAAGGTCACTGCCATGCTTAAAGCGGCGCACTACCAGGTCAACGAGATTTGCCAAGATTAGAGACCTTCCTACTCGACAAGCTTGATTCGCCGATCCACCGCGCCAAGATCCAATCGTCATCCCAGCCGAAGCCATTTCGCCGACCAACAGCATGACGATGGACAACCCCTCCATGGGGGAGCTAGGGGGAACCTCATCGACTACCCTCGCCAACATGACTAGGAAGTCGACCAAGATGTCCGAGAGCACATCAATAATCTCCGGGACGCGCGATGTCATATCGACGGGCGCCGTTTCTCTCGCCATGAAGAAGAAGTACGCCGGCGTCAAGAATATGAGCAAGAATTTAGCAATCCGGATGCTGCTCTCCAGCCACTTAACGCTGGCAATACCGCCGATCATGATGGTGATGATCCCAAAAGGCCTCGAGCATTCACCAGAGCACTCCAAACACTCCAATGGCCTCGTGGTTTCAAAATCACCGGGGTCAAGCCCTACGAGGGGCGGATGAATCCCACACAATGGCTACAAGCTTATGCCACCACTGTGCGCGCGCCGAGGGAGATACCAGTGTCATGGAAAACTATCTTCCTATCATGCTCACGTCAACCGCGATGAACTGGCTCACGAGCCTCGCCCCGGATTCCATCGAATCTTGGGAACAGCTGAAGAAAGTCTTCACTAACAACTACATAGCTACGTGTACTCGGCCGGGCACCAAGCACGATCTGAATCGCATCTACCAGAAACCGTCCGAGCTCCTCCATAGCTACATCAGGCGATTTTCTGAGATGAGGAACTCTATTCCCAACATCACGGAAGCAGAAGTCATCACTGCCTTCGTCCGAGGACTATAAATTCAATTGCAAGCCGCCAAAGGGGATCAGCGAGATGATCACGACCACCGATCAGTACACCGACGCCGAAGAGGCCGAAGTTCGCTTCAACGAGGATGCGAGCAATCACCGCCCAACTCGTCGCAGCGACAAGCACCCTGATGAATGACGCCACAGTGATCGCCGCTACGATGACCGCGGCCACCATGAGTATAGTGGTCGTGATCGGCCGGAAGGGTCCAAAGCTGGTCAATATCACCACCGCTGACCAGACCACATCATCGCAGCCGTTGACGAACCTCGCGCCAAGCGTAACTACGACGAGCAGTACAAGAAGATCCTCGAAGGCCCATGCCCCCTCCACAAGAATAGCAAGCACAAGATGAAGGACTGCCTTGGTTTGGCTAAGGAGTTCCAGGCCAAAAAGAAGGACGACGACAACGATGATGAAGCCAGAGGTCGCCGACCACCTAGGGACAACAACAACGCCTTTCAGGATCACGACAAGGTGGTTGCCACTATCTGTGCGGGCCTCGTCGCCGCCGAGAGCAGAAGAGATCGAAAGCTCACCGCCCATCGGGTGCTTGCCGTCAACACAGAAGACGTCATCGCCAACCCTAGCTATCACCCCTGGTCTGAGGTCCCCATCACCTTCAGTAGGGCCAACCAGTGGGTGAACATCCCTTACACATGGCATTTCCCCTTGTCCTTGATGCCACTGTCAAGAAGGTATTGTTCAGGAAAGTACTCGTCGATGGCGGAAGCGCTCTGAACCTCCTCTTTGCCGGAACCCTGAAGGAGCTGGGCCTCAGAATAGAAGACCTCACTCCCTCTGACTCCTCCTTCTAGGGTGTGGTACCTGACAGGGCATCCAAACCGCTGGGAGAGATCACTCTCCCAGTACAATTCGGCACAACTAGCAATTTTCGCGTCGAGCACATCAACTTCTACGTCACCGACTTCAACACCGCCTACCACATCATACTTGGTCGGCCAGCTCTGACCAAGTTCATGGCCATACCGCACTATGCCTATCTGGTACTGAAGATGCCTTCGCCTGCTGGAGTTCTGGCTCTGCGGGCCAACCTCTCCGTCGCCTACACCTACGAAGCAGAGAGTCTCGCCCTCGCTGAAGCCACCGACCTCTCCATCTAGATGGCTAGCGTGGTCACCGACGCCAAGATGGTGCCCGCCGACGACCTAGAGATCCTAGTGCTGGAGCCTCCACGTGCCTTCGCCAAGTCCAAGGAAATGAAG